TTTGTTGGTGTGTGTGTGTGTGTTAGGAAACATTTGTATTCTTATTTTGGTTTGGTTTTTTTTTTTTTTTTTTGGTCATTAATCCATAAAACCATTAATCTGCCTTTTTCTTTCATTTTCAGTTCGGGTTTCCTGTAGAACCTTTCCCTTCACACCAGAGGCGAATGCCCCCGCGTTCGGTTAACACGCAGCTATGCCATTGTGCCTGTTTGCTCACCTTTACTCATTGCTCCCTCCCCGCGCTCACCACTTTGTTTTAAGCAAGAGCCCACACCCTGGGCTGTGCTGGGTTGTGGTGGTTCTTGTGAAGAACTCAGCAATAGCCTACGTGGAACTGCCAAGAGATGCTCATTGCTGATACCTCTTCCCCGAGCGCTCACAGGGCTAGTGTCCCCTCTTCTCAGTTGGTTGGCTTTTTTTGTCTCTCCCTCGGTTTTGTGGGAGGGCTGCATGGTAAGAGAGCGCGGGTCCCCCGTTGTGGGACCGCTGTGAATGCAACCCCTCGCTGCCCCGGGGTGGGACGGGCTGTCTCGAGAGACTGGCCACCCTCTCCCCTTTTTCATTTGCTCTGTCTAACCCCTCATTACCCCCCTGCGCTGCCCTGTGTGAGTCAAATAATTTTAAAGGACTTTTTGCAAAACTTGACATCCTGACAGGCGTGGGGCTGAGTCCAAACCTCTAGTCCCCAGGCTTGGGGGATTCTCAAACTTGGATCCACGGTTTGCAACTAAGTGTTCTCTGAATGCTGCAGGGGTCAGGAAGGATCTCTTGCCTTGTCTCCCTCTCAGTGTGCTGGCCTGGATGCACATCCTGGATCCAATCTCAGGGAAAGCTGGTCACCTTGCTGTACATATCAGTGTTTGTGAAGAAAGACGATGATGTTTGACTTTCTTCTTAGTGATTCCAACAATTTCTGGTTTTAATGCAAAAAGTATTACCTTTATTTTTATTTTTTTTTTTATTTGGCATCTGTTTAGAAGCGTACGGATGCTGGTAGGTTGCTTCTCATGTTTTCTATTCAGCAAAAGCCTTGTTTTACTGCAAGATTTGCACTAAAAAGGAGGGTGTTTTGCTCACTGGGGCCAGGGGTTCACTCTGGCCCAGTGCAACTGTGGTTTGCCTGCAGGTGTCTTCTCTGTGTATTTCTGGATGAGTTCTGTTTTTAAATAAAGTCTTCATCAGACAGTGAATTCTGGTTAACATTTACTTCTTTTGTTTTTTGTTTTCTTTGCCCTTCTTTTACAGTAACCCATGGCTCTGTACTGAGTAATTACCCCTGAATACAATGGGCTGCAATGGACCTTCATTTACTTGTTAAATCGGAGGGTCTAATAAAACGTGACAGCATTTCAGCTGTGACCTTTCCATGGTGTTACCCTTGCTCTCTCCTATATCCTCATTGTGATTCTGTCTTTACGATGTACTGGTGGTTATTGCTTTTATTAAACAATGTAAAATTAGTCCTAACAAGGTTTTGGATGCTGCAACTTTAAATCCCACATTTTTTTTCCCCCCTGCAATTAATGGATTCCCCTTCCTTCTGGTCTCTCGCCACCCAGATAAATAAGGGATGTGGAAGTAAGTTCTGTGTTATTTTTGCTGGCGAAATAACAACACAGTTTAAATGTATTTATTGGTGACATTAAAATGTCAACACAACCTTAGTTTAATTATTGCATAGCTGAGAGATAAAAACTCTTTTCTCTTTGTACTTGGTGTCGTTTTCATGACATCATCTATCTTTTTTTATTTGCTTTTATTTTTTCTTTTGCTCAATTCACATTACCTAGATTAGCATGTAATCCTCATTTCCATTTCAGACTTGCTTGTTATGACCCTGATCCTTCAGTCGTGCTCTGTGCAGGCTGAGTTCTCTCTCTGTGGGTGAATCCACACGTCCTGACCCCGCTGAAGGATCAGTCTGCATGCTGCCAAACAGTTCCAACAAAAAAACCCCTTCCCATCCTGGGTTTTTTGGAAGATAAGCACACCTCAGACCTAGCCGTGATAGGTAATGCTGTTTTTAGTGCAAGCTGCTGCTGAGACTTTCACCAGAATGGTGCCAAAGCCTCACGAGCAGTTCCTGCACACACCGCCTTCCCTGCTCACGGCAGCAGCCCCAGATCAAACCACGCTCTGGCCTCTGCTTCCAGCAATCAAGGCGCTTAAAACTCTTGATTGCAGTGTATTTTCTCAGGTGTTCCGTTTCACCATAAGCACAGCTTTATTTCCCATAAAAATCCTTGACTGTTTTGTGGGAGCTTTTTTAAAGCAAAATAATTTGAATATTTACTTCCTCTCCTGTCTGATGTCGGCCTGCTCCCAAAACCAGTCAATACCAGTCCGTCAATGATTTCTAGATTATCTGCTAAAAGAACTATTTAATGTGGCTTTTTTTAACCATACGGCAGGTTACTGGCTGTTCTACCTGACCATTTGCTTTAGTAGAAAGTTATTTAAAATGATGTAAAGTCTTTCTAAAGACTTCAAAGAAAAAAACGTTTTTACTTGTGCGATTTCCTTGAGGTACCACAAGGAGGTTCCATCTCTCCTCTGTCAGCTGTTTTCATGTTGCATCTCTTTTTCCTGCTTTTTGAATGTCTTTCTCTTTTTTGCTAATCTTCTGGTTTTTTCTCTTTTTTCCCTTTTCTCTCTCTGTAGCTTTTTTTAATCTGTCTTCGCCAGCTGCACTGGGTCTGAGGGAGAAGACTGCCACTTCTAGAAGAGTTTAAGGGTCTTATGTCTGGGGAGGGGGGGGAAACAAATCTTCAGTGTTAGTGTCTTGGAAAGAAGCTCTTTTACTGACTTGCATGGTATCTAAAATTGAAGTGTCTTGTAATTTGTGTGACAAGACAGGGTAATACGGGGGAACCGACTGTTGACCTGGAATTTTGGAAGAGCAACAGAATTGTGATGTTTGGACTAATGATGTAGCGAATACATTTTCAAACATTGTTATGGGCATATTTTTTTTCTAATTTTGTCTTTAATAATATAAATGTCACGGGCTTCCATGAGGTGTTGAAGCCCAAGGAATATTTTCAATATGCTGTTGTTTGATTGGTTTTGGAAACTGTGCATTCAGAGTCAAAGGAAATATAAACATGGTGCAATTTGCTCTGTTGGCAGCCACCAAATATTTAATTTTAACAAAGAAATAAAGTAAGAAGAACTGTGTGTTTTCATTGGTGTCCTCCTGTGTCTCACCACCTTATTAAGCTTCGTCGGCTGGTGGACGTGGGTCAAGTGGTACTTGTGTGGGTTTTTTTTTCCTTTTTTCCCCTAACTAAACCTCCTCTTGTTCTTTAACGTTAGGAAAAAAAAAAAAAAAAAGTTGGCAGTATCAGGAGGGAGAGGCAATGCTGACAGCTACTAGAATTATTATAATAGTGATCTGTCCCCATCCCCGGTGAGTAGGGTGCAGTGTCCTTGGGTGTGCCACTTGGGGGAGCCACTCCTCACACTGCCTGCTCCTGCCCCACTCCTGTCTCCCTTCTGCCCTCTGCCCCCCTCTCCTGCCCCCTGCCTCTCTCCTGCCCCACTCCT